AGATCCCCATACTTGCTTCCAATGTCAACCTCTGTTTTTGTGTTATCGATTATTAAGAACCCCRGATTTTTCAAGTTGAACACAATTAGGTAGAAGTGACTTTGCCTTCGAATCGGGAAAMAAATCTGCAAATGAATGCCATTAGCATATTTCAAGCATTTATGTCGCCCCTTGTTTAATATTTGTGTAGTTAGTATAATTATAAAGAAAATATACCATATCTACATTCCTTAAGGTTGCTAGCTCCTTATCGTTTTTCATTGCGGCCTCCAAGCAGGTTTCAAACATAGTATACATGCTTCCGTAACTCAATTTTAGCATGTCGTCCGTCTTTTTTGTTAAGTGATAATGTTATATCAGTGACTCTAACAAAGATATTTATATTAATAAATAAAATATTAATATCACATACCATTGTTGTAGTGTCACAAAATAACCTTCGTGGGGAAGACTTGCTTCTGTATTGTTCATTCTTGTTCAACATTGTAGCCCATATGTCGATCACCCCCCCGTATATGAAAGTATCATCAACCATGCTTTCGAAAATATGATGTGGTGCATACTGACCCTCAACTGTTAAGTATACCGGGTCCCTATGAGGTAATAAATTATTTGATTACTAGATTTCCATATGAACATAAATCTCAGTAGAGTTAATAAGTTATAAATTGTGACCAACTGTGATAATGGTGTGATAAATGTGTTAATGATGTGATAATTGTGTTAGCGGGTTGATAAATGTGATAATGGTGTGATAATTGTGTTACCGGGGTGATAAATGTGATAATGATGTGAAAAATGTGTTACCCGGGTGTATTGTACCTTTTAAATTGAAAAGTTTGATGTTTTATCACATGTGATAAACCGGATGTGTATATGTATCTGGATACTGTTTGGTTCGTTTTCCATTAAATTGAATTATGTAAATGATGCCGCAACAACTGCTTTTAACACCCAAAATCTTGATGCCATCGACTTACCAGTGATCACAGGAGCTGTGATAATGGTGTGATAGATGTGTTAATTGTGTGATAAATGTGTTAATGGTGTGATAAATGTGTTAATGGTGTGATAATTGTGTTACCGGGTTGATAAATGTGATAATGGTGTGATAAATGTGATAATGGTGTGATGATTGTGTTAATAGTGTGATAATGGTGTGATAGATCTGTTAATGGTGTGATAAATGTGTGATAAATGTGTTAATGGTGTGATAAATGTGATTGATATATATAATTTGATCAAAAAGCAAGTAGATTGCTAGCAAATCTCAACTCAAACTACCTCTGCATCTCTTAAAGTGGTGTTTAGGTAGTGATGAAGTGTTAGTTCATATGATAGGAAAATGCAAATGCAAATGCAAATGCAGAATTTTGCGGTAAACTTTGCTTCCTATATGTTTAAGTATGTTACTCCTTTATACTAAAGTTATTGTGTTTATTTGATAATCAAATGTGATCTAGTTAATCATGTGATAAATATATGCATATGTTAGTGTCAATTAGTTGGATGAACTTACATCTGAGAGCCTTCCATAGCAAATATTAGGTTAGAAAGGATTAACTCAACTTTTGTGTTAGGCTGGTGTGCGTCCACTTGTCTATTCATGTACGGTGAACATATTTTTCTTCCTGCCTTTGAAGCTCTTGGACCAATGGGACCAGTGTATATCTCACTTATTGGTTTCACATTAGGAACCACATCATCGTCCTCTTTGTTAGGAGCAGTTTCCTT